TTGGACATGGAGATAATATGACGTACCGACCTTGGAGGCAAACGGTTGTCCAAAGTGGTAGCGCAAGGGATTTATTGCACGAGGACGTTGGAAGGCGAAGTGGCCAACCGTCCCTTAACATGGTGAAGTCGTCGGTGACTTGAAGCTTGGCCGACGGAACTTCGAGGCTAAAGTACTCTCGTCTTCTTCACAGATTCGGAACTGGAATCCATGTAGTTAAGTGGCTTCGGTCAAGAAGAAACAAGTACTAGCGGGAGTAAAAAATAGCTGCGCGAAAGGAAGGGTACGACAAGGAGCTGGAATAGCGGTTATCCCTCTAGATGAGCTGGAACCCAAACGTCAGATGAAGGCGAACGCTGATGCTAGTAAGGATCCGGCTTTGGAGGACATGGCGAAGTACTTGGGGATCCCTGAGGAAGTGCTTGAGTGAGTGAGTGAGCCAGCGTGGATAGGTTGAAGAGACCGGAGTACTGACAGGAGTGGTTTAATGAGACGCTTGAAAGTTCGGCTGAAGCCAAAAGAGCTAGTTGTGACTTCCGTTCACCGTCGGAAGGTTTCACGAAGATCGTCGTCAGCGCTCCGCGGGGAACCTTTGAAAAGGTGGGCAACCTGATAATCCTGTGTTTGAGAATGCGGAAGCGAAAGACTATCCCGTAGCGGGAGATTCCCGAGTGAATCCGACGGTGGAAAGCCTTGTGTGCGAAAATATTGCTCTTCCTCTAGAAGCAGAGAGCATGGTGGCGACGGTTACCGAAGTACAACCGTGTCATGTTCGATTTGGAAGGAGGACCGTTAGGAGAGGAATGGTCCGAAGCGTCGCGCGCGAAGCCGTCTATCGGATGCTCAAGGAAATGAAAGAATGTCCGGTCGAGGAAGACTGTGTGCCCGTCAGGGAGGCCCACGGAGTCCAGGGTGATGAGGCACCTTCTTTGAGAGACAAACGACCAAGCCTGGATTAAGAACGCCTACGCTGGCAGGCGGAACGAGTCGTTCAAGAGAATAAGTTGCTAGGAGAAATCTGGACCGTTCTTATGGGTTGGGCCAAACGGTATTTCGAAGGCAATGCGGACCATATTTGGCAAAAGCTGGTTGACCATACAGGAAAGAAGCCTACGTTGGGTGGAGGTCGAAGTCGACGCCGACGGCAGCGGCGCGGACGTGGTGCGGTACGTTTCAACTGTTCTTCCTTCTACAAGGACGACGCTGAAGCTTTGGACGACTTTAAGTTCCGACAAGAGAAGGACGAAGATGCGTCTCACTATGTACGAGTAGTGTGATCCTCCACCTAGTCGTGGTTTAAGGACAGTAACGGTTGAGTTGTCCGATGGATTTGGCGTCCGGGATAACGAAGATGAAGAAAGATCGTCGATGCCACAAGTGGTACAGGGAGGGCGATGTGTTGTTTGCGCTGTCGGAAGCTTTGAGGCTCTCTCTGGAGGGTATATCGACTGCCTACCGTCGCCAATGCTTGTATACACTAACCCGACGCTTAGTCGCATTGACAGGCGATTTCTGGACGGTATTCGGAGCCCCTACAGCCGTATGACAGTAAAGTTAGCTGCTCGTCTGGTCATCAACTGCGCGTCCGTGGGAGTATCGATCTGCCCGTCCGATTGGGATCGAAAGCAGTCTCTGTGAAGCTGGTAGTAGCCGACAAACTACATGTGAACGCTATCCTGGTAGCCGACGCGTTATGAGCATTCAGCGCCCTGATCGATGTGACGGAGAGGACTTTAACGCTTAAGGACACTGGTGAAGTGCTTCAGCTAGGGATCACCGTCGTGCATGACGCCTACATGGCTACGATGACCTCGTCGGTACGGTTACCTCCTCGTGGCCAAGCGCTAGCGGTGGCTAATGGCATCGGAAACGTGAGATACAATGATATCGCGCTAGTTGAGGGTGCCGTGGAGTTGCTGCCTACCTTGGGAATAGCTCGCTCGCTGTGTACAGTGGGGGAAGGCAAAGTGGTTGTTGAAATCTGCAATACGTTGACGGATGAGTACTGGATCCGGAAAGGAGCAGTTGTGGTGTATGCCTCTATCGTCGGCATTTAATAACGAAGCCCACCAGGAGAACAAGAGCCCCAGAGTAAGAGTGTGCCTTCCGAAGACGTAGAGAGCTCCGTGACGATGTCAGTCACCGAAGGGCAAGGAGAGGAGGTCTGTGGCGAAGCGAGGGCTTCCAAGCCTGACGTCCCGCCGGACAAAGACGTTGGCGCGACGGCCCGACTTCTGTTAGTCTGTCTTATCCGAAGAGCAGAAGTCACTGTTCCGGCCGGAGATGAACGGCTTCTACGACATGTTCGTGGATTCATCATCGATGAAGCCTGGTCGAACGGAGATGTTGTACATAAACGTCGACACGGGTAACAGTCCCCCGATCAAGCAGCAGCCGTACCGAGTGTCGTTAGCTGAGGGAGAAGTGATGGAGGCAGAGATTCAGCAGTACTTGGAGAACAAAATCATCCGTCCTTCGAGTAGTGCGTGGACTAATCCGGTTCTGATGATTCGCAAGCCGGACGGATAAAGCAGGTTATGTATCGATTACCGGAGGCTGAACGCGGTGACCGTGAAAGATTGTTATCCCATGCTTTTGATCGATGGTATCCGCGACGTCCTGGGGGATACGAAATTGTTTTCGATTATGGACATTGCGTCTGGCTACTGGAATGTTTCCATGGACAAGGATAGTATTTCTAAAACTGCTTTCACGTGCAAGTATGGTCTGTACGAGTGGCTAGTGATGCCTTTTGGCCTTTGTAATGCTGTACCCGCGTTTGAACGGTTGATGAAGACGATCTTAGTGGACTTAAAGTGGCGCATTTGCTTAGTCTACCTGGATGACCTTGTAATCTTCAGCAAGGACTTCCGACT